CTTTGTGTAACTGATTGCCGACCGATAGCAGTAAATCTTCAGTGCGCGGTCGGCAAGGCAGAATCACGTACTGTATATACATTATTCTACTTGTAGGGGATGTACATGTCAGCCTACCCGCAGCTTCATTGGCTCCTTTACATGAAGATCAGCAGGTCCCAGCAAATGATTCATGGCCGGGACCCCCAAATCGTTGGAGCAGGTGACAAGAGAGAGATCTGTGTTGGTAATCAACATAGATCTCTCTGCTGACAGAAGGGATGTGTCAGTCTTTGTCTCCCTCCAAAGCAGGGAGATAAAAACTGCCACATTCCTTAGGAAAACAGCACATATTGCACACCTTACACATAGTTAGGCACACAGTTAACCCTTTGTTTGCCCCAGATTTTAACCCCTTCCTGTCCAGTGTCATTAGTACAGTGTCAATGCATTTTTTATTAACATTGATCACTGTATTAGTGTCACTGGTGATGTCAGTGTCAGTTAGCCAGTGTACTATCACAGTCCTGCTATAAGTGTCTGATCACCGCCATTATTAGTAGAAGAAAAAAATCTAGTATATATACCGTCATTTGTAGATGCTATAACTTTCATGCAAATCAATTAATAAGCACTTATTGGGGGGGGTTATTTTTATCAAAGACATGTAGCAGAATACATTTTGGACCTATATTTATGAAGAAATTGTATTTTTAGTGGATATTTTTTTATAGCATAATGTAACAAATATTGTTTTTTGTTTTCTCAAAATGTTTGTCCTTCTTTATTTATAAACCAGTGGTGATCAAATACCACCAAAAGAAAGCTCCATTTGTGTGAAGAAAATTATATAAATGTCATTTGTGTACAGCTTCCCAATATGTTATCTGCTATAGAGGAGAAGAGGCAGGGATAGTGATGACATAATTGACCAAATAATTGGCCAAATATGGCCAGTGGCCATATCTGGGCAGTAATGTCACTGCTGTCCCCACTCCTTTGCTTAAAAGGAGAGGCGATTCCCTGTTACACCATTGGCTCCTAGGGATTCCTTAGGGACCAATGACAGTGGGGAGCTGTCATACATAGATGAAGTAGAAATATAGTTCCTGCTGAACAAGGGGGCCAAGTAGGCTACAGTTTGGTCTAGGGGCGGACTGACCATTTGGAAACTCGGGCCCGGGGTCAGTAGGGGGCCCCATAAGATGCCCCTGGTACCTTTTTCATAGGCTTTTTTGAATTTGGGCAAGGACACAGGGGCCCCATGATCCCCTATTGCCCGGGGGCCCCATGAGTTGTCAGTCCACACCTGGTTTGGTCTGAACCTATGTTATAACTGAACCATTGGCTCATCCCTAATTACTGATAAGAATACAACACAGGGAGAAGGAAACTTTTCAACTCATTAGATTGTCCCAACAAGCAGCCAACAAAAGGGAAGCCCATAGGAAAACTTTAAAGAAAGGTACAATATACTTGGTCATACATGGTGGTATAATTATATTCAAATCCAACACCTCCTGTGCTCAGGGACCCAGATCAGAAGAAGGCCAATCGAACAATATAATGAATGTTCATCCAACACTGATCAAAGGTTGTGCTGCTCAAACACGAAGCTGGAGCAGCTCAATATAGACTGATCAGCTCTGAAGAAGAAGGGTCCCCCCATCGAAATGCGTCAGTTTGACCAAGAGATTATCTCCCTTCTTGATGGGATTTCCACGTGTCTCCTAACTCAGTGTTTTTGGTTTTGGATGTTATACACCTTTTATACTGCTACTCTTGTGAGTATAATTTTTTATCAATAAAATTATTCATTACCTATTGAGGTAATGCGCAAGGTTGGTGCGCTTTGTTTTTTTCTGTTCTCTACTATGGTCTAATTATATTGGCCTATGCCAAGTTCTGTGCCTGTGCAAAGAGTAATGCAATGGTATCATAACATTGCCTACTGATCAGATCAAGTTGGAAGGGCACATAACATTGGCTTGTATAGAGGATACCAGCATTGTGGTGTCCAGGTATACCGGAATGCGCAGTGTTTTATGTGTGTATAGAAGCGGTTGTGTTATGTTTGGAGGACAGGTCTTATTGTGATGTGTAGTATTTTCTATCCATATAGGTTGAAGGGTTCTATGCTATGTGTTAATACAGAATATAACAGAATTGTATTATGACTTCTGGTGGTTGGGTCAGATTAGCTGGTATTGTGTTTCTTGCCTGTATAGAATGCGTAGGAGTGTTCAGTGTCTGCATAGAGCATAATTCAACATTGTATGCTGATTGTCTCCATTGATAATGTCATTCCAAGAGTTAGCACTCTACATCTGTATGGAATAATTAAACACCTACATGTACAGATTCGCAGGAACAACAGCACATTGAGGTTGTATATAAGAAATATACCATTCCTTTTAAAGCTGAATGAATCAATTTACTTACTGATTAATATACTTCAACTACAGCAAAGTTCTAGTGATTGCATAACAAAAACTCAATCTCTCTATTATTAAAATATGGTGCTCTCATCCAGGCATGCTTTTTATAGTCATACACAGGCATACATTGCGCATTTGGTTAGGAAAACAAAATGGAAACACAAGAAGCACTTCAGCATTCGTCCAGTGCATGTCTATAGTTGTTATGGGCTAAAGCCAGTTAATTACTTGAAAATCAAAAGCCTGTAGCATGTTCTTTCAGAAAGAACTGAAGTGATTATGATGCTGCAGAGAGAGATATTACAGTTGTGTGCGATTCTCTGAGTAAACTGTCTTCTAGTGTTATAGCAATTCTATTCAGATCTGTACCTGCTAAGAGGAAAAGACTGCACTTCATACTATACATTTTTTCTTAAAGTGGTTTTAAAGGCTCATGGTTTTTCACCTTCATACAGAAAACCTTTTGAGTGTAGCAGCCCCATACCCCCCCCCCCCCCCCCCCATCATTTCCTGAGCAATATTATTATTATACAGTATTTATATAGCGCTAAAAGGTTTGCTCAGTGCTGTACATTATAGTGGGGGACAGTACATGAGACAATACAGTAACAAAACAATACACGAGGGGTTCAAGGGCCCTGCTCTTTGGAGCTTACAATCTAGGAGGGAGGGGATAGTGGTACAGGAGGAAGTGGCTGTGGGGGATGGAGTGGTAGGAGGAGTGGAGGAGATCTGCTGTTAGGTGAAGGCGGGGTAGGCTTCCCTGAAGAGATGGGTTTTTAGAGTGCGCCTAAAGGTGAGGAGGGTAGGTGACAGTATTATGGATTGGGGTAGGGAGTTCCAGAGGATGGGGGAAGTCCTGGAGAAGTCCTGCAGTCGGACGTGGGAGGTGGAGACCAGGGAGCTAGAAAGTAGGAGGTCTTGTGAGGAGCGAAGATTACGGGTAGGGTGGTATTTGGGTATCAGGTCGGTGAGGTAGTTTGGGGCAGTGTTATGAATGGCTTTGTATGTCTGTGCTAGTAGTTTGAATTTAATGCGTTGGGCAATCGGGAGCCAGTGGAGGGAATGACAGAGGGGGGTGGCGGATACGGAGCGGTTGGTAAGGTGGATGAGTCTGGCCGCAGAGTTCAGGATAGACTGAAGCAGGGATAGCAATGTTCATAATAGCCTCAACCAGGGGCGGACTGACCATTTGGAAACTCAGGCACTGCCCGAGGGCCCGGGGTCAGTAGGGGGCCCCATGAGATGCCCCTGGTACCTTTTTCGTAGGCTTTTTTGAGTTTGGGCAAGGACACAGGGGTCCCATCAACCCTTATTGCCTGGGGGCCTCATGAGTTGTCAGTCCGCCCCTGGCCTCAACTGTAAGGGGACTCTCATTGGCTGAGACAGCATCAGGAGCCCATTGGGCTGCCGCCAATCACAGCCAGTGAGCCAATGAGGAAAGTGCGGGGCTAAGCCATGGCTCTATGTGTCTTATGGATGCACAGAGTAATGACTTTGGAGCGAGCATGCATTGGTGCCCCCAGGGTAAGCTGCTTGCCTGCTGTTAGAGGGGGAGGAGCCAGAGCACCAGTGGGGACCCAAAAAGAAGAGTATCGGTGTAGCTGTGTGCAAAACTGTTGCAGACAACAGGTAAGTATACCATGTTTGTTATTTAATAGGAAAAAAAGACAAAGCTTTAGTTTCACTTTAACATATACAGAACTTACACAAAAGAGGGCAGGGAAGCTATAGTTTTTAGGCTTATCACCAGAGACAACTTTGTATCCATGGGTGCCATCCTAGAACCTTCCTGGACTGTATTCTGTTGTAGTGATTTACTGATTTGAGATGAAGGCACTCTAGAGCTTTTGCCCACTGTTACTCTACCGCTCTCCTCCCTTCTTCTTTTTGAATTCACTAGGGACAGCTCTGTGTTGTCTACACTTGTTCAAACAGGTTGTAGACTCCTCATTAAAGCCCATTGATGTGGTCTTCAAACTCCATTTTTGAAGAGATCATTTCTACTATTATACTGGAATTAAGTATACATGCTCATGACCAGGGTGGATCAGAGCTCACCCACATATCAGCTTCCATCTGACCATCATCCCAACTCCACCTTCCTATAGTCCCCCAAAGAAAACAGACTGCTTTAAAGTGGAGTTAAAACGGCCATGGTGGCCTTTTAATATATTGTGGCAGCAAGGTACCCTGCCACGGTCAAAATCAAGCTTATAACCCTGGATTCTCAACCAGGAAGGTTGAGGGGCTCCAGAGGGTTTATGTAATGCAGAGGAAACTGGCTTTTCATTTTCCTCATTTATTCATAAAGTCCGTTGTGGGATCTGGAGCCTGGAGATTTCTAAGCGATCTGGGAGGGATGAAATTTCCAATCCAGGGTCCGTGTTTTCAGAACCCCCAGCACACTGATTGCACAGGTGTGTGCAGGCCTTTTCATAGCTCAACTCCCAAAAATGCCTTCTTCCCAAAGATCAAGATCCAGCTCAAATGTTGCTGTTTGCGGAGATCCATCGATTTGCCCAGTTTCAAACAGAATTTCACATTTGCTCTTTGTTCTAACTTGCTGTCCATGATGAATAGGGGCAATAGGGGATCATGGGGCCCCTGTGTCCTTGCCCAAACTCAAAAAAGCCTATGAAAAAGGTACCAGGGGCATCTCATGGGGCCCCCTACTGACCCCAGGCCCTTCCAAATGTTTCCAAATGGTCAGTCCGCCCCTAACAGGGCCCCTGATCACAGGTACATCATAGTAGAGAGCTCTATGGCAGGGAAAGTAGTCATGTTAGACAGTATCTATACCCCTGTGCTCCATCATTAAGTGGTCAATCTCTCAACTCAATTATTAGTGGAAATTTTAAACTGCTTACAAATCCTATGGTCAATGGCCTTTCATATCTCCTCTGGCTTTTCAAAGACACTATCCAAACTCCTTATAGACTCCCAGTTAACTAAAATATGGTGCACCCAAAATGCAAGGGCCAGGAAATGTACACAATAATTAAAAGCAAATATAGTTAGTGCCAGATAGATTATTTGTTTCCTACCCCATTATTGTAGATAATTCTATTAGTGCCTCTGTACATACATGCTTCTGAACAGATTACGCCATGGTAACATTTAGTACAATTACCCTTGGTCTAGCCCCCATTTCTTTCTTTTGGGATGACTTGATTTCATGTCTTATTCATTTCAATATGCCTGCTGGCATTCTGGTGAAATTCTTTCTCCGTAATTATACCAGTGGAGTAGATATTATTATTATACAGTATTTATATAGCGCCAACAGTTTGCTCACCGCTGTACCTTCCAATGGGAGCCAGTGCACGAGATGGTACAGTGACAATACAATTCAATACACGAGGGGTTAGAGGGCCCTGCTCCTTGGAGCTTACCATCTAGGAAGGAGGGGATAGTGGTACAGGAGGAAATAGCTGTGGGGGATGGAGTGGTGGGAAGAGTGGAGGAGATCAGCAATTAGCTGAGGGCAGGGTAGGCTTCCATGAAGAGATGGGTTTTCAGGGTGCGCCTAAAGGAGAGGAGAGTAGGTGATAGTCTGATGGATTGGGGTAGTGAGTTCCAGAGGATGGGGGAAGCCCTGGAGAAGTTCTGGAGATGGGCATGGGAGGAGGAAACCAGGGAACTAGAGAGTAGGAAGTCTTGTGAGGAGCGCAGAGTACGTTTTGGGTGGTATTTGGATATCAGGTCGGTGATGTAGTTTGGGGCAGTGTTATGAACAACTTTGTTTGTCAATGTTAGCATTTTGAATTTTATCCGTTGGGCAATCGGAAGCCAGTGGAGGGATTGGCAGAGGGGGGTGGCGGATACGGAGCGGTTAGTAAGGTGGATGAGTCTGGCCGCAGTATTCAGGATAGACTGAAGCGGGGATAGCCAGCGGTGAGGTAGGCCGGTGAGGAGGGAGTTACAGTAGTCAACTCGTGATATAATAAGGGAGTGAATGAGTTGCTTAGTAGTTTTCGGGGTTAGGAACGTACGTATTTTGGAGATGTTGCGGAGGTGAAGTCTACATGAGTTTGTCAGCGATTGGACCTGGGGCTGGAAGGACAGATTGGAGTCTAGGATGACACCTAGTACTCTGGCTTGCGGGGTGGGGCTGATGGTGGCATTGTTAGCCGTGATGGAGAAGTCAGGGGGGGGCATGGGCTGGGGGGAAAACTATTATCTCTCACAAGACAACCACGTGTAGCAATTTGATCCAATTGGAAGAAAAAAAAAAATGATAGGAAACGTGTCCAAAATTTAGTCTCTGACCAGAAAATGTGATGCATTTTATAAGTCTCTGCCCCATATGTTTTATGCTTCAAACCATCACAGAAAAAACACTTGCTGTTGATAAATTGTTTTCAGAACAGTCTTCTGAGGTCCCGTGAGGGATCTCATCTGTTAGATGACCAATATCATGCAGGACCCCTCCTTAGCTCCTTATTTATCTTTGTTTTTCCAACAACAGTGCTTTCAAAGGGATATCACAACTTAACCTACACCATTTTGGGGACTGCACAATTGACTATAACTTATAATCGAAAATCACCTGACCTCTCATTTGAACAAATTATCACCAAAGTTGATTCCAAATTTGGTTCAAATCAGCTTATGGAACAAGTGTGTCGCTGTATATATGACTCTCTTCAAAATACCAACTTAAAGTGATAATAATATTTTTTAACAGTAAATATGTCATACTTACTGCTCTGTGCAGTGGTTTTGCACAGAGCAGCCCCGGTCATCCTCTTCCGGGGTCCCTTGCCAGTGCTCTGGGTTCCTCCTCATCTTCATGTGCCACCATAAGGCAATCCAGAGCCATGTTTTTTGTGTCCATTGACACATACAGTGCGGCCTGGCCTTTCCCTCCACTCCATCATCACTGGATTTGAGTGACAGCAGCAGGAGCCAATGGCATCCACTGCTTTCATTGAGTCCAGTGAAATATTACTGAACTGTATGAGAGTTTGTTGAATTGTTGCTAAAGAAGTACTTAGCATTACAATGATGTCATTATTTTGTGGTGGTTTTTACCTATATAGAAGCCCTGCTGGTGCTCCTGACCCCTCCCCCCTGCTGAGTGCCCCCATAGCAAGCAGCATACTATGGGGGCACCCAAGCAGGCTCACTCCAAGCTGTTGCTCTGCTTGTCCATTCGATCCCTGCTCTCATTGGTTCACTGGATGTGATTGACAGTAGCAGGAGCCGTTGTTTCCCACTGCTGTCTCAGCCAATGAAGAGGGAGAGACCCTGGAGAGCCATTGCTCTTGTGCTCATCTCTGGGGCTCCAGCTCATGAAGGCTGGGAAGCCGCTGCCCATAGAAGGTTTTTACTTTTATGCATAGAATGCATGAAGAAAAAAAACCTTGAGAGTGAACCATGGCTAATTCATAGGCATCTCCTTTTGGATTGCTATCTTTACTGATCAGATCACCACTCCTTGCTATTCAACACTTATTTTCTCCTTTAATTTACATTCACCGGCCAATTTATTAGGTATACATGTTCAATTGCTTGGTAACACAAACTGGTAATCAGCCGATCACATGGCAGCAACTTAATGCATTTAGGCATCTAGACGTGGTGAAGACAACTTGCTGAAGTTAAAACCAAAAATCAAAATGAGAAATAAAGGGGATTTAAGTGACTTTAAATGTGGCATGGTTGTTGGCGCCAGACTGGATGGTCTGAGTATTTCAAAACCTGCTGATCTACTGGGATTTTCACACACAAACAGTTCTAGGGCTTACAGAGAATGGTCCAAAAAAGAGAAAATATCCAGTGAGTGGCAGTTGTGTGGACAAAAATGCCCTGTTGAAGTCAGAGGTCAGAGGAGAATGGGCAGACTGGTTTGAGATGATAGAAAGGCAACAGTAACTCAATATGAACCAAAATCTCTGAGGAATGTTTCCAACACCTTGTTGTATCTATGCCATGAAAAATGAGGCAGCTCTGAAGGCGAAAGGGGGTCCAACCCGGTACTAGCAAGGTGTACCTAATAAAGTGGCCGCAGGTGTAAGTTGCATTGTTTGTTATCATTTATCAATTCAACAAATATTATGCCAAGTACATATATTACTATTGTGTACTTACTATTGATCATGTACAACTTTTTTTTATTATATTTTGTACTGTGCAATCTTTCTAATAAAAGACTTTTGTAGTTGAAAACACACTCTTTCCAACTAAAAGAAACATTTTGGCTTTAGATATACTTTAACTCTTGTTTTTGAGAATCTCAAAGCTCAATTTGCTGACGCTTTCACCAAAAGCAATCTCAAGTGTTTGTATGCTCATATATGTGAACTTTTATACCTTTTGATTTGGTTGAGCTTAATTCTTGACATTTGTTATTTTTGCCATCATCTTGGCCACTGGAACATACCGGAACCCTGCAAATAAAAAATAATTGGAATAACAACTTCACCTCCCATAATGCAATAGTCTGTACTCTGAATTTCTTTTATCTTTAATGTTTTTAAAACTTTCTTCCTTCTTTTATTTCTTTGGGTTATGCTGTCTCTAATGCACCATTTTTATTTTTATATCTTGATAAGAAATGGAGTCTTGTATTCTTGAATAATAAGGGTATCAAGTGCCTTACATGGATCAAGCCTTTATGCATAAACAGAATAGCACAAACTATAAAAGAATCATGCAAATCAGTGTCTTTGGTCCAATCTAGTTTTCCTCAGATAACTTTTTGGGAGATTGCCTCTTTTTGCTGAGATAGGTTTACTCTCTGCATATTGCAAAGTAACATTAATTTTCACTTGGCAGTACAAGAAAACACAATGGCTGTAAAATCTCCTAATTAAAATGTATGATGCTCAAATATAAGAGAACCCACTAAGCTATAAACAAATATTGCCTTTACATCTCTGACAATGTTGCTGCCAGAGGTGTTTTACAAGCTGTAGAGAATATAAACGTGAATCTTTGTATCATGAATAATACTTGTATCATTATATTATATATTTTTTAAATTTTACTACCATTTTAAAAGCACAAACATAAATATATATGTGAAATGCATGTGAAACTATACAATAAAATCTGAAAGAATTTACCTCCAGACTCCAAACCAGTGGTTCTTAACCTGGGTTCGATCAAACCCCAGGGGTTCAGTGAGTCAGTCTCGCGGGTTCGGCAGAGGTGAAGACCCACACCCGACTCATATGATTCGTGCAGTAAATATTCATTATTATGTTTTTGTTTTTGTGTGAAAATCATGTTTTAATGGTTTTGTTCTTTGTTCTTAACGGTTTTGTTCATTTTGTGCACTTATGTATAAATATATACCTATGTTTTGAATTTTAAAAATCATATTTTATTTTTCCAATTAAGAAGGGTTCGGTGAATGCGCATATGAAACTGGTGGGGTTCAGTACCTCCAACAAGGTTAAGAACCACTGCTCCAAACTATCCTTTTATTTTCCGGATCATGTCCCAACATCTATTTTATCTTGTTCATGTAGCAAACAATTATTATTATTATTATTATTACTACTATCATCATCAATATTATTATTATTATATTATTATTATTACTACTACTATCATCATCAATATTATTATTATTATTATTAATACTAATAATAATAATACTAATTATAATATTTATTATTTCTTGTCACATCTTCACCAGCCCTGTAAAATTCTTTTATGAGCAACTGCCCTGGGTCAATTCTTATTGAAGTAGGCACCCCCCTATGACAACCTCTACCAACAGCTCTGTC